ACTATAATAAATATAGAGAAACAGTAACTAGCAAAATGTTCACCATCATAAGATCTATACAAATAGGTCAACATGACTAAATGTCAGATTCCTAATAGGATCTATTGCCCTTAAATTACGATTTTTACTATCGTTTTTATTTTGCCAATTATCTCAAAAACTTTAAAGTAAGAAGGTATAAACTGAAAACAGTAAGAATGATCATCAATGCAAGATCTGCAAAATTGAAACTAAATAAGATTTACAATAAAGGAAACTTAAATGATTGTAGTAGAAGTAAAAATAAATATCAAAATGACATTTCTTAACCAGGTGAGCGATTCAGGCTTTTTGGGAGCCTCTTGTTTATGAAACTAGTTTTCTATGAGCAACATTTTGTATCTACAAGATACATACATTTATAGTATGCTCTTATGATGTATTCCAGTGATGTTGAATTATTTCAAATACTTTTACATATTTCCCCCTATTTTCCTGGTTTGACTATGTGTGGGGGAGGTGAATTTTATTCAACTCCGCCTAGGATTTTTTGTTTCGCTGGTTTAATAAAAAGAGTTTAATCAGGGCTGACATGCGTTGAATGATCATTGTGATTTCAAGCCGCGTCATTTTTGCTATATCGCCTAGGGTGGCTTAGCTGGAAACAAACACGGTAGCCTCTTCTAAAACCTATAAATTTCCTTTTTAGATTCGTCACTTTTAAAGTAATAGAATTGTATAGCTTTGAGGTGATGTTTTAATCGAATGACTTAATTTCTGATCTTGAAAGTTCTTCAACTGTCTGTAAAACTGCGTGTGTTAATTACTGTCATTACTCTTTTGCGAAGATTTTCTGAACGACATTCTCTTGTCTCGCCCACGTTTTGGTATAAACGTAGATCCTAAGATATATTTATTACCTTTTCTTAAAGGTGGTTAACGAGTTTTGTAATACTCGAAGCATCAAAGTGTAACAAATTTCCAGTCTGTATTTTCCTATTTTATTACCTATACTAAGTGCAGTCTTTCATTTTGATAATGACCGGTAAACAAAACAAAAACAAATACAAAACAATTACACCGCTTCCATTTTGGTTACTGACAAGGTGGTCAACCATCATTTGACCTCCAAGGAGACCGTGCTGCAGGGTTTGATAATTATGTTAAAAGCGTATCTATAATTCTATTGAACCATACGCAATTCCTGAATCCAGGATCTCGTAAAAGTGAAAACCTTATCTAGGGTTCTTTTTGCCTTTGTTCCGTATTGAATTCATCATAAGAAGAACAGCAATTAACTTATTGTTCCTTTGCGTTTGTATTTGTCAAGCGTGTGGGGATTTTGTCATGATTCCTTTACGTTTGTATTTGTCAAGCGTGTGGGGATTTTGTCATGATTCCTTTACGTTTGTATTTGTCAAGCGTGTGGGGATTTTGTCATGATTCCTTTACGTTTGTATTTGTCAAGCGTGTGGGGATTTTGTCATGATTCCTTTACGTTTGTATTTGTCAAGCGTGTGGGGATTTTGTCATGGTTCCTTTACGTTTGTATTTGTCAAGCTTGTGGGGATTTTGTCATGATTTAAAACAAAATATTCCTTGTTTTCAATTACCTTGACATAATTTGTCCTTTGTGTTGTGCTGAGGCCGTAAAAAGTTTTCCAATGTTTGAGGTGTATAATCATATATATTTTTACAGTCATGACTACTCATTCTTGTAAATGAGATAACTTCTCTTATGAAAACCTCCTTATTTTCTCACATTCGATCTGTTTCTTTATCGAAATTGTTATGTCTAACCGAATACGTCGCCCTATATATATCTTATGTCAATGTATCTAAATAGCCTGATTTGTACAGTGATTATATAAATACGTGTATCTGGTTTTTCATAAAAATAAGAAGATGTAGTATGAATGAGACAACAATCCACAAGGGTAGAGACTAAATGACTTAAAGTTAGCAACTATAGGTCACAGTATGACCTTCAACATTAAGCAAAATTCATACCGCATAGCAAGCTATAAAATGCCCCGAAATAACAAATGTAAAACAATTTAAAACGAGAAACTAACGGCCTGATTTATGTACAAAACAATAAACGAAAAACAAATATGGTATACAGCAACAAACGACAACCACTAAATAACAGGTCCCTGACTTGGGACTGGCACATACACAATGTGGCGGGGTTATACATGTTTGCGCGGGCCCAACCCTCCCCTAACCTGGGGCAGTGTTGTAACAGCACAAAATAAGAACAAACTATAAAAATAATTTGAAAAGTGCTTAACTCATCAGATCGATACCAAGCATAAAAAAAGTTAACAAAAAACATTAAAGAAGCAAAGTACAGATCTGAGAGTACTCGTAGTTGCTGAAAGCTAGTTCAAATCTAATAACAACTAATAACAAAACATGTATCTAACCCTTAAATATCAATCAAAACACACCAACCGTCAAATAGATCTAGACAACATTAACAGCCCAAAAAATATATAGGTATCGAGGGAATGTGGGACCGTGAATGTTCATATAGGTGTAAAGCAATAATTTTTAGTTTGGTGGTAAATTATTGATAAAAAAACCAATATAAATACCGATAAAAACATTAATTTTTTACAGGAACAGCCAAACTTCCAAAACACATCTTTGAATCTATGAAAGAATTTAGTAAAGATTTTAAGTTATTTGTGGTAAAGAAATCCTTGACTTGATAATTTGCCAGTAATGTTTGGTCATAAACTGTGATTCATAATACAGGAACAAGTCTGCTATTTTAAAAGGGGTACAAATGGTGCCTATGGCAATATCCACAACCGATCTATAAACTGTATTGCCAAAACGTACATAGATGTGGTCAATGAGAAAAATATAAGCTTTACTCATCACACCTTCAGTAAGCATATTTACCTGTTTCATTGCAAAAGAAGGTTTTATATATAGTCTACTATATAAACTAGGATTAATTAAGTGATAAATTTTGTGAATTTTGGCAATTTAGAGCTTGACACGTTGTTTGACAAAAGTTCTGTTCAAATGTTGAAGACCTCTAGATGTCTATGTTGGGTATCTATCTTATTGACGGATATCTTATATTATATATGTATGATGGCTTGTATCGAAGTAGACATGTTCGACACTTTTGGTGTACCAATATTTATTTTTGCAATTTAGCTGACCTGAAAAGAGTCCTTTAACCACGGCTTCTCGAAGTGGAAATCACAATTTTTCAAAATTTAACAACTCAGTCGAAATTCTTATTTTTGCAAACATTGAGTAACTCTTAGTTCTATTATTCTTTGCAATTTAAAACACCACTGATGGTAAAGTGTTGTTTATTGTTTGAAATTACATGATATACTGATATTTTGTTTTACAAATGATAATTGTGTCCTCACTTTAAGTCCTATTTGATATGTTGACTCGTATGAATGAAACGTTTGAGAAACAAGTCAGGTCACCACGATTGAGATGCTAGTGGTTTAATGGAAACTGAGAGAAATTATTATCTTTCTGAAAAAAATGCAAACTTTTGGAAACCAGTTGTAAAGGTTTGATAAATGTGTTTTCCATAACAACACTATCGTTGATGATCGTATGTTTTTTTTACTATGAAATATCGTGTGAACGGCCCATTCCAACTGGTTGTGTCTGCGTATTTATACATCCACAAACGGCTCCTCAGCTTAAGGCTTATTGCTGACGAGAAAAGTCCAGGTGAACGCATGTCAGTACCCTGGTTATCCTTCGGGTTAATAAGAATGAATAGCAGTTTAATCATTTCAAAGTGTTTAAAATAAGCAGATCAGTATAATTAAACAAAGACATTGTCCATTTCTACATGAAATTACCTTGTGTTTACTACTTGGTAAATATATTGGTCTCAGTTTCTCTGTCTAATGGGTACGACTCCTCAGCATGGTTGGTGTTTGGTTGTGTTGGACTTATAAATAAGCAACCACGCCTGTGCGGAATGAAGAATTTGTAGGGAAAGTGCCAGGCTCGGACCAGTGGCGGATCCCCTCCTTTTTTTTGACGATCAATGTATTTGAATGGGGACATATAGTTGGACCCCCCCTTTTAACCTGGGTAAGGACCTCCCCCCCTTTTAAAAATGGCTGGATCCGCCCCTGGCTCCCATTACGGAAAAGAAACCCTGACAACAACGCTTAATGGGGTCCGCATGTATATTGCTGCAAGGGGAAAATGTTGCCCTTCGAAAAGGCCGACCAACTTTGCAGCTCCTACCTTTTAGAATAATTGCTTATTGCTCTCGTCCTGAGTACTTATACATGAAATACTTTCCACTGGAAATTAACTTAAGCAACACTCAGTCAATTATTCAACCATTCAACAAGATTTATAATATGTTTTGATTTGGACGTACTATGGATTTCGATATTTTGTTTTACATTGTAACACTTTTTTTCAATTGGATATACTATCAAATAGGAATAATTATTCATGTTCTTATACATATGGAATAACATTAAAAAGTTTTATATACTTACTCGAATGTGTGTATGCTTTAAAATTGCTTAATTTACCTTTATCTTGTTTTGAACATAATATTCTTGTATTTTAAGTGGTTGAGCGTAATCGTATGAAAGCCCTGTGTTTTGTTTGTTTTTGTTTTTTTTTTGCCACGGTGAAAACAAAAACCGAAATTGCAATTTGATGTAACCGTAGAAACAGTTTCTTTGGCCTTTACAACGTGTGAGAGAAAGATAAGAACAATTCTTTTGTTGTCACATTAACGAATCAATCAGTCAGTCTATTAATGAAGTTCGCGCCAAAACATCCGTGTTGACCTTTCACCTGAACAGACGCTTGAAAATCGCATTATTCAAGGATACTAAATGGTCTGTCTGGGAACAGCGACCTTAGTTTGCCTAAAATCCCAGACTGAAACGTTCACAGAGAAGACCCTTAGAAAAACAAGACTAAAAATAATTTGTGAAAGGATCAGAATTATTCCATATATCAGGGATTGAAAAAAAGATTTTTGATAAGTTTGTTCAAAGTTGTCTAAATAAGATATTTAAGTGGACTATTTAAAATTCCGAATCATAAACAATGAACTTTTTTATAGTTTTCATGAACTTTTTATATTATTCTGTTGTTTTATTTTCTGTAAATTTCGTGATTGGTCAGAATGACACGGACACTGACCATGGAACACCACACACTAGAGTACCAAACAGACTTGAAAATATGAGGAGAAGGTAAGAACTATTGTCTTTCTTCACCACCCCAGATTATTATTTGGTCATATTCAATATTTCAGTCTCTTATTTTAAACTAACAATTAATAAGTTAATATCTGTATGCCCCACAAGGGCTCCGAATTGGAAATAAAATATGTTTAATAAGATCAGGTCTTGGAAAGCAAATATATTTGTTTCATGGTTTAAGACTTCAAACATTTTTTTTTAATATTTTGCAAATCTGTCTGTGACAGTGCAAAAATGTATACCATTCTTAAAACTTATATTCATTACATGTGAAATCCGAAGCATTGTTACATTAAAGTACTTTTCGTATACTAGTAATATTTTTAAAGTAAAATTTGAAAAAGGAGATGTGGTGTAAACATCACTGAGACAGCAACCCAAACGAAAAAAATAATATTTGGTTATTTCAGCGGTTTTTATTATTAATTTAAAACTTTTTCCCTGATGGTCAAAATTGAATAACGGGTATATTGTTTAAACTTTTATGCGAACATTTTTTTTTGTAGAAACGTTTTATTTTTAGATAACGTAATCTGTTTTATTGTTTTGTTGAATTCTAAGTAATATGTTCCTCAATGCAATATTTTCTTGCCAACAAATAAAAAAGTTTGAATAAAATTCATTCACTGCAATTATATAGTTTAATATTTTTGTGAATTTTAACCCCATTTAATTTTATGTGATTTTTTCTTTAAACAGACAATAACTAACCAAAGTTATGTCTATTTTAAAATTTGTTTCTGCAGCCAACGTTGTATGAAGAAAAAAATATTCCAATTTTGTTAAGATATTGAACTAGACAAAGTTATGTTTTGAAATTTATTTATCTTTTAGAAATACTTAAAGTTCATTTTATGATATCTATATACATGTAATATTCAATTTATATTTTTTCTTCAAATTCATAGTATAGTCTTTAACCACGATTTCTTACTGAATGATAACGGAAAAATTTAAATATTTAAAATGAAACTGAAGTGTTGTGCAAAGTTTTACTACCATTTAAAATTTGTCGTTATTAACCCTTGTTATTTTGTGTAAGTGCTACATGTACATACAGTAGGATATCGGTGATTTTCAGTAGTTTTCCTCTAACAATTCAACTCCTCAATAAACCAAATGTTCCCTACGATATATAATTTGAATCATACCATCACGATCTGACCATTTTGGAAGATATGTATAATGGTTGACTGTTAATACTTTCAGTTGAACGCAGTCATTTCCATTGTCTGAATTATGACCGGATTAAATGATTTCATGTGTACTCGAAAGATTTAAAAACAATACCTGCATACGTCCAAATATTTTTATGTTTAACTTACGTGTTTTATTTTTGTGAGCAATTTGTTTGTCTCTATATTTCCATTTAATAGTTAGATTGCCTCCATACAGACATTTTTACACTTTTCTTTAAAAAAAATAATTATTCTCAATGCATGTTAATGTGCTTCTATTTTGTTTTATCACGCACAAAAACACAATCGGACTTGAATAAACATAAAATGGCATTATTCAACATTTGATAACGTAACGTGATACAAAAAATAGTAAAATAACAAAAATACCGAACCAAGGAAAATTCAAATCGGAAAGTCCCTAAAATGGCAAAATCAAAAGCTCAAACACATCAAACGAATGGAAAACAACTGTCATGTTTTCCTACAATTATTTACATTAAATAATTCGTACCATGATTTCCTTCTTTAACATCGAAATTTTAAAAAAAAACACGTTAATTAACATGCAGCCTTGATTTAGTCCAGTAAACAATATTCAAATTTATCAATTGCAGTATAAAATTTTATGGCTTCAGATACTAGATAAACAACTCTCATCATGTCATAGTGAAACCATTCTTCCACATTTGGAATATTCTGAAACCCTTCTAAAGCTTTTGGAAGACTTTGAAAACCTTCTTCTGCCTTTGAAAGATTGTGACACCCTTTTCTGCCTTTGAAAGATTGTGACACCCTTTTCTGCCTTTGAAAGATTGTGACACCCTTTTCTGCCTTTGAAAGAATGTGAAACTCTTCTTCTGCCTTTAAAATATTGTGAAACCGTCCTTCTGCTTTTGGCAGATATTGAAACCCTTCGTCTGCCTTTGGAAGATGGTGAAACCCTTCTGCCTTTATGGTGAAACCCTTCTGCCTTTGGAAGATTGTGAAACCCTTCTACCTTTGGAAGTCTTGTAACCCTTCTTCTGACTTTGGAAGATTGTGAAACCCTTCTTTTGCATTAGGGGATTGTGAAATCCTTCTTCTGCCTTTGGAAGACTTTGAACCCCTTCTGCTTTTGGAAGTTTTACTTTATTATGTAACGTCATGTTTCTACAGATGAATAATTGGACTCAATTTTGTGCTTGATAGGTACGGCAACACAAGAATAAGATAAGAATAAGAATATTTATTATTCCAATCAAGGGCCCTTGATGGGCAGCATGACATGTATGACATGTATACACACAAAACAATACATTGTGATTTGTAACAGATTTTTTTTTTTTTTTTTACATTGAAATGAAATATTAAAAGTTCATATAGATGTTATCATGATAGAGCTACATATATTTCTTCATTTTATATAAATCATGTACATTTAATTCCAGGCAGGACCAGAACCATAAATCATATGGTAACAAGTTTATTAGTTTCTTTTTTTATATCGCCATTATAGCTGATTATGACAAAAACGATTAAATAATTTTTTTGTAGTTTTTACACCATCTCAATATCTTATTCCTTATTTATATTATTTCAAATCCAATCATATCTTGATACTTTTTCAAATCTTTTGAACGGAGGTTTCTAACATACTTTATCAAGTTAAAGAAGAGATGTTTATAATTATTTTGATCTTAAAGAATAATGAGCTGACCTTAGTGCACAGAAAATATCAGCGGTCAAAGACCGAATTAATTGAGTGTGCAAAGTGCAATGTCCGGCTGTAGAATTAGGTGGCAATCTGACCTCTGAACAGTTTTGATTTATGATGGTTGTATGTTTGTTGCCTATACAGAGCAATAATTTCAATATTATAAACTGATGAAATATATCATTTTAAAATGGTATACGTAAGGATATTGCAACACTAAAACCCTATTATTATTGTTTTCCTTGTTTTATTATAGTATTTTATTATTACAGTAGAAAAGGTTGAGATTATAATCACGATTATTTTATTTAGAAATTTTATTGCATATACATGTAGTTAATTTATGAAACATACACTGCTTGATTTGTACGGTTAGCCTTTTATAGAATCCACTGTGACATCACATTAGATCTCGAAGGATTTTAGATTATACGGAAAAAAGTCCTTTATGCATTATTCTGATCATAAAATGTAAAATTTTTGATCATTGGTTCAGAGTAGAGTTTTATAGACAGTTATTGTTCAAGTTGTTCGTTAATGTAAAGGAAATCCGCCGAAAACAATCAATGAACAAGAATTTAAATAAGAAAATATTCCTGTCCTTTAGGGATTTGTACTTCACATTGAACCGGAAACAAAATGATACGTCTGTAACACTACGTGAGGTTTAACAAGTTTATATTCAAACGTGTTTAACCTCAACGTAATAAAAACCAGTATATACATGTAGTGGCTGGGAAGATCTCAAATGATGTTCATTGACACACTGATAGGCCATTTGATGTCTTAGCCCTGACTGGTTACAGGCACTTTACCAGCATTAAAACCATTGGTTTGACAGGCGACAATATAAAGCCTATAATATGACCACACAAAGAATGCATTCGTTTTTACAAAGGCATTAACTTCTGAGAAATGTGTAAAAGCTTCTCAGTGTCTCACACATCCGATATGTCTCTGTGTCTCAGTGTCTCACACATCCGATATGTCTCTGCGGTCTCAGTGTCTTACACATCCGATATGTCTCTGTTGTCTCAGTGTCTCACACGTCCGATATGTCTCTGAGGTCTCAGTATCTCACACATTCTAAAAGTCTCTGCGGTCTCAATGTCTCACACATTTGATATGTCTCTGTGGTCTCAGTGTCTCACACGTCCGATATGTCTCTGCGGTCTTATCGTACACAATCGAAAGTCTGTGTGGTCTAATTGTATTACATATCCGATATGTCTGCGGTCTCTTCACATATCCGATATGTCTGCGGTCTCTTCACACATCCGATATGTCTGCTGTCTCTTCACATATCCGATATGTCTGCGATCTCTTCACATATCCGATATGTCTGCGGTCTCTTCACATATCCGATATGTCTGTGGTCTCTTCACATATCCGATATGTCTGTGGTCTCTTCACACATCCGATATGTCTGCGGTCTCTTCACACATCCGATATGTCTGCGGTCTCTCCACATATCCGATATGTCTGCGGTCTCTTCACATATCCGATATGTCTGCGGTCTCTTCACATATCCGATATGTCTGTGGTCTCTTCATACATCCGATATGTCTGCAGTCTCTTCACACATCCGATATGTCTGCGGTCTCTCCACACATCCGATATGTCTGTGGTCTCTTCACACATCCGATATGTCTGCGGTCTCTCCACATATCCGATATGTCTGCGGTCTCTTCACATATCCGATATGTCTGTGGTCTCTTCACATATCCGATATGTCTGTGGTCTCTTCATACATCCGATATGTCTGCAGTCTCTTCACACATCCGATATGTCTGCGGTCTCTCCACACATCCGATATGTCTGCGGTCTCTTCACACATCCGATATGTCTGCGGTCTCTTCACACATCCGATATGTCTGTGGTCTCTTCACATATCCGATATGTCTGCCGTCTCTCCACATATCCGATATGTCTGCAGTCTCTTCACATAACCGATATGTCTGTGGTCTCTTCACATATCCGATATGTCTGCGGTCTCTTCACACATCCGATATGTCTGTGGTCTCTTCACACATCCGATATGTCTGTGGTCTCTTCACATATCCGATATGTCTGCGGTCTCTTCACATATCCGATATTTATCTCTTCACACATCCGAT